TCTCTGAGATTCACAGACAGATCTTCACACTCCTGAAATGAATCTAATGACCGAACAAATTGTTTCCTGCAAAAGCACCCCCATTTTCGCTCCTCTTTTATTTCCTAAGGGAGGGGCCAATCCCCTTCCACCTGTGATTTTACTCCCAAGTCAACCCTGGTTTCTGAGCTGTTCTTTTTTTCTGGCAGCTCTATGCATGCGCACACTGGGAACAGGCTCCAGCTGTTCCTCTACCTCAATGCTGTCTAGCTTTGTTGGCATCTGATCATTGCCAGACAGCCTCGGCCCTGTCTCTGTCTCCCACCCAGAACCCTCGTCCAAGCCTTCCCCAGCATCCAGGAGTGGCCCATGCTCCTCCCCAACCTCCTCACTGCCCGACTCTACTGCAGCTTTGCTGGCTGCTGGCGGGCCACAACATGCAGTGCGCAGATCCTGAAATAGGTGAGGTTGTGTTGATTCCTCAGCTGAGCCAACTTCCCGCTCTGACCTCTCATCCTTTTCAGACAGAATGGAGGCTGGCCTGGTTCCCCTGCAACTGAATCCTGTGGTTTAGCCCAACCTGGTGTCTTTCAGAGAGAATGGAACAAACCGAGATCGTCTCCCATCATGGTTAAAAACTGCAACATCAAACTCTCTGCACAGTCTCTGGATTGGAGGAGAGGATTTAAACAGGGGTAAGATTCAAAAATGTTAGCAACTGATTCTCTGCCCGGTTGCTGGGTGGGCGTGGCCATGGTGGGAATGGCCTACCTGACCTCCTGCACCACCATCCGTGGGGGGGGGGAGCATTTTCACCCTTCCCTCACTACAGAGGCTTCCTTTGAGCCTCTGGAGGCAGGCTCCGGAGGCTGGAAACAGGCCCATTTCTGGACTTCCAGGCGGCCTATTTTTTGCCCTCCCAGAGCTTCCGCACAAGCCCTGCCAGCCCTGGCATGATGAATGAGCCGCATGGAGACTCCTGGGAGGGTGGGGTGGGCAGATTGCAAAATTAACATCTAGTTCACCCGAACCGGTACAAACCGGCTGAATCCTACCCCTGGATTAACGTGATGGGCCTGAAACTCACCTCCTCCACCTGTTGTTTAATGAAATAAATCGAACCAAATCCAGTTTGTTTAATTACGGTCAAGGTATTCGATTGGAGTCAAGCAGGCCATGGTTTGAATCTGGTTTGCGTCCATGAATCACTACTTTACGGTTATATCAATATTGATCATCTAAAGAGGAAGCCAGAGTTTATTTCCTGCTTAGGGAAACATGGCAAAGAGGCAAGCACTGAGGCTGCACTTTGGCCAAGCAGCCAACGTCATGGCTCTCCCAATCTTTCCTTTCCTGGTTTCTTTTCTGGGGAATGTCAACAATCTCTGATTCAGGGTTCTTTTGAATAAGGTAGTGAACCCACAGCAATGGGTCCTTTGCTCTCACGGGCTTAAGAAACATGCCAAGTGGAGCAACATTTAAAAATCTCTCTCTCTCATTTTCTTGATCTAGCAAATTTCTGGATTGTTAATAAAGCAATAGCAATCGCCCTTGGGCTTTTGTACTGCTTGGCAGTGCTTTCCATCCCTCTCTAAGCGGTTTAGAGTCAGCCTCTTGCCCACAACAATCCGGGTCCTCATTTTACCGATCTAAGAAGGACAGAAGGCTGAGTCAATCTTGAGCCGGTCAGGATCGAACTGGTAGCAGCGGGAAGAATTAGCCTGCTGTACCACATTCTCACCACTGCGCCATCATGGCTCCATAAAGGAGAACATTTGGGTGAAATGAGGGATTCTTGATGCTTTCTGGGCTTGGTTGTTTTCTTGCAGACGTTTCATAACCCTGCTGGGTAACATCATCAACGCAGGAGGAGGAAGATGAGGAGGAAGATAAGGCGGACTACTGTGGGGCCCTTGGTGCTCTCTGAGATTGGTTGTTTACTTGTAGACATTTCATCATCCAGCTAGGTAGCATGATCAGTACTAGTTCAACAACCAAGCTCAGAGAACACCAAGGATCCTTCTGGGTGGCCAACCTGCCTGGTGGGTTTCCATTCTGAAGATGAGCAGCCCTCCCCAGGCAAAAGACTCTGGCTAAAGCACAATGCTTCTTTGCAATTTCTGGAATCCTGATCAACTCCGTGCCACAAGATTATTCCAGATGCTACATTTAAGGGAGTACAAGCAATGGAGGGAAGTATGCAGTGAAGTACCCCAATGCTCTGCTTTAGGCCCAATACTCTTCAACATCTTCATCAATGATTTGGATGAGGGA